TTTTTAATATATAAATATATATTGGGCCCCAAATAAAAAAAACTGGCCGATTAGCAAGAACTCATTTAAAATTAAGTTCTTTCTAAAATTTTCTCTTATGCATTTAAAGACATATTTTTTCATTATTGTTGATGTAAAAATTTATAATTTTGCACCAAAAGGAACTTAGAAAACTTACCTAACCTTATTATAACAAGCGCAATTTATTTTTGACTAACCCAACTAAATATATTTTAGATTGGTTTACAGTAATTTAATACTAAACAAACACAGTGAAATATATTTTTTTCGTTAGGTTCAGAATGATTTTGGCGAAATTATTGCATACACAAATTTTCACTTGTCCTATATGGCAAGATGAGCGTTGCTATTTAAGCCAAGATCGCAAGTTCTGCCTATTCGGCACGACATATTATATATATATATATTTATTATATATATATATATATATATATATATATATATATATATATATTAAAATATATATATATATATATATATATATTTATATCAATAACAACTCTGCTACTAGCTGAGGATTCGAACCCATGTTGTTTTACTTTGATCTGAAGACATATGATGGTGTGGGTGCCTCTGAGCTCATTTCATTCTAATCCTGTTTGGTGAACCAACCTCCACAAGCAGTATATATATTACTGTGACCACAGACGGGTGGTATTGAATCAATAGCAACACTGCGACTAGTAGAGGATTCGGACCACACAATCATACAAGAATCAAGCACCCAGCAGAGATAGGTACTTTACCTTGATCTGAGGACATACGGTGGTGTGGGTGCCTCCGAGCTAAATTCATTCTAATCCCCATTTTTCATTGGATCTAGGTAAAACACCTAGCTCTGCTGGGTACTTGATTCTTGTAGGATTGAGCATCATGTAGTTTTCGCTCACCACGAGGAGGGCGAAAAACGTTTACCTTGCAAAGTGTGATACCACCTACGACTGCTTCACCTCAGCTGTCTACAGTACATAAGCCACTTTCTCGCACATATGCTATATTCTTTTCAAGACTAATGGACTGATTACATCGACTCAAGGCTGAGGGACTGATTATCTCAAACTCCTCCTGTTCTTCACCGTTCTCCTTTGCATGGACTGATGAAACCACTGTGTGGCGAAACGTTTCCTCAATAAAGCTACCCAAGTGTTGCACATGTGTCTAATTAATCAATAATATGTGTAATCTATATCATATTTTTCTCTCCTGCACAGAACGTTGTCATTTTGGATTATGGAGGGCCAAGTACTGCAGCAGAAGAAATTGCTAATATGGTTCCAGAGAAGAAGAGGCAGCAGGTGCGAGTTCTGGATGTGGCCGCAGGTACTGGCTTGGTGGGTTGCCACCTTCATAAGAAAGGATTCACGTAAGTATTGGGAGTATATTATAATACATTTTCTTCTCAGATTAAATAAACTTTAAGATCACGTGGATATAGTAAGTACAAAACAGCACAGTGAGTTTATTTAACCTAGGATAAGTAAATAATACCACAGTGACTAAATTCTGATCAGAAGATGGTGTGTGTTTGTGTGAGTGTGTGTGTATACACCTAGTTGAGGTTGCAGGGGTCGATTCACAGCTCTTGGTCTCGCCTCTTCACTGATCGCTGCTAGGTCACTCCTACTGCTCCATAAGCTTTATCATATCTCTTCTTAAAGCTATGTATGGATCCTGCCTCCACTACATCACTTCCCAGACTTTTCCACTTCCTGACAACTCTGTGACTGAAGAAATATTTCCTAACATCCCTGTGGTTCATCTGAGTCTTCAACTTCCTATTGTGGCCCCTTGTTGCTGTGTCCCATCTATGGAACATCATGCCTGTATCCACCATGTCAATTCCTCTCAGTATTAATATGTTGTTATCTTATCCCTCATATCTCTCCTGTCCTTCAGTGACGTCAGGTTGATTTCCCTTAACCTCTCCTCGAAGATCACGCCCCTTAGCTCCGGAACCTTGTTGAAAACCTTTGCACTTTCTCTAATTTCCTTACATGCTTGGCTAGTTTTGAGTTCCAAACTTGTGCTGTTTACTCCAGTATAGGCCTGACAGACACGTTGAACAGGATCCTTAACAGAACATGACTTTTCACGGCGAAGTCAAAACAGATCATTCAATCCCTTCGGTTTCCCTTCACTCACGCACGCACGCACACACACAGAACTCGCCATAAAACTGCAGGAGGCCAAGAAAGGAATATGAAGAGAGCAACGGAGCAATGGTGGAAACACTAGATGAGATGGTCAGAAGAGTTAACTCGAGCAGAGCAAAGTAACTGGTTATGGGCGATTTCAACCACAGGAAGATTGATTGGGAAATCATGGAGCCACATAGGGGTCCCGAAAATGGAGAGCCAAGATGATACACGTGATACTGGAAAACCTCGTGCATCAACACGTCAGGGACACTACCAGAGAGAGAGGGGACGATGAACCACCGCAAGACTGAACCTCGTGTTCACCCCGAGTAGGAAAGGTTTGTTCCCAAGGATAACAGAAATAATGGGAAGACCAGAACGAGCCCTTGGTTTACCCAACGATGTACGGAGGCAAAAATTAAGTGCACTAAAGAGTGGAAAAAGTACAGAAGGGAAGGACCCGGGAAAATAAAGAGATTAGTCGAAGAGACAGAAACGCTCATGGAGCATGGAGAGAGAGGACCTTGTAGCTGTCAGTGAAGAGGCAAGACCAGGAGCTATGACTCGACTCTTACAACCACAAATATGTGAGTATATATACACACACACACACACACACACACACACACGACATGTGCCAAGGACAAAACGGTAACTAACACACACACACACACACACACACACACACACACACACACACACACACACACACACACACACACACACACACACACCACACACACACACACACACATACTCACACACACACACACACACACACACACACACACACGCACGCACACAGCGTTTACCATAAAGACAAGTGGTTCACTTCGCCGATAAGCTGAAATCTCAAAAGACTGGAGAAAGTGCTACAGTACCACAAAAACAAGACAAGTAACAAATGTAAGAAAATAGATCAACGCAATAATTACACAGACGAATGAATAATTTACAATCATTTTTTTAGTTGTAGCTACACTGAGAGTAAAAGGTAGATGGGACACAAGGAGAATAGAAGCAACTGGGAAGAGAGAGGTGAAGGTTTATAAACTAAAAGAGGAGGCAGTTAGGGTAAGATATAAACAGCTATTGGAGGATAGATGGGCTAATGAGAGCATAGGCAATGGGGTCGAAGAGGTATGGGGTAGGTTTAAAAATGTAGTGTTAGAGTGTTCAGCAGAAGTTTGTGGTTACAGGAAAGTGGGTGCGGGAGGGAAGAGGAGCGATTGGTGGAATGATGATGTAAAGAGAGTAGTAAAGGAGAAAAAGTTAGCATATGAGAAGTTTTTACAAAGTAGAAGTGATGCAAGGAGGAAAGAGTATATGGAGAAAAAGAGAGAGGTCAAGAGAGTGGTGAAGCAATGTAAAAAGAGAGCAAATGAGAGAGTGGGTGAGATGTTATCAACAAATTTTGTTGAAAATAAGAAAAAGTTTTGTAGTGAGATTATCAAGCTGAGGAAGCCTAGAGAACAATTGGATTTGTCAGTTAAAAATAGGAGTGGAGAGTTATTAAATGGAGAGTTAGAGGTATTGGGAAGATGGAGGGAATATTTTGAGGAATTGTTAAATGTTGATGAAGACGGGAAGCTGTGAATTCATGTATAGGGCAAGGAGGAATAACATCTTGTAGGAGTGAGGAAGAGCCAGTTGTGAGTGTGGGGGAAGTTCGTGAGGCAGTAGGTAAAATGAAAGGGGGTAAGGCAGCTGGGATTGATGGGATAAAGATAGAAATGTTAAAATCAGGTGGGGATATAGTTTTGGAGTGGTTGGTGCAATTATTTAATAAATGTATGGAAGAGGGTAAGGTACCTAGGGATTGGCAGAGAGCATGCATTGTTCCTTTGTATAAAGGCAAAGGGGACAAAGGAGAGTGCAAAAATTATAGGGGAACAAGTCTGTTGAGTATACCTGGTAAAGTGTATGGTAGAATTATTATTGAAAGAATTAAGAGTAAGACGGAGAATAGGATAGCAGATGAACAAGGAGGCTTTAGGAAAGGTAGGGGGTGTGTGGATCAGGTGTTTACAGTGAAACATATAAGTGAACAGTATTTAGATAAGGCTAAAGAGGTTTTTGTGGCATTTATGGATTTCGAAAAGGCGTATGACAGGGTGGATAGGGGAGCAATGTGACAGATGTTGCAGGTGTATTGTATAGGAGGTAGGTTACTGAAAACAGTGATGAGTTTTTACGAGGATAGTGAGCCTCAAGTTAGAGTGTGTTGGAGAGTGGGAGATTATTTCCCAGTAAAATCAGGCCTTAGACAAGGATGTGTAATGTCACCGTGGTTGTTTAATACATTTATAGATGGGGTTGTAAGAAAAGTAAATGCGAGGGTCTTGGCAAGAGGCGTGGAGTTAAAAGGTAAAGAATCACACATAAAGTGGAAGTTGTCACAGTTGCTCTTTGTTGATGACACTGTACTCTTTGGTGGTTCTGAAGAGAAGTTGCAGAGGTTGGTGGATGAATTTGGTAGGGTATGTAAAAGAAGGAAATTAAAAGTGACTACAGGAAAGAGTAAGGTTATGAGGATAACAAAAAGATTAGGTAATGAAAGATTGGATATCAGATTGGAGGGAGAGAGTATGGAGGAGGTGAATGTATTCAGACATTTGGGAGTGGACGTGTCAGCAGATGGGTCTATGAAAGATGAGGTGAATCATAGAATTGATGAAGGGAAAAGGGTGAGTGGTGCACTTAGGAGTCTGTGGAGACAAAGAACTTTGTCCTTGGAGGCAAAGAGGGAAATGTATGAGAGTATAGTTTTACCAACGCTCTTATATGGGTGTGAAGCATGGGTGATGAATGTTGCAGCGAGGAGAAGGCTGGAGGCAGTGGAGATGTCATGTCTGAGGGCAATGTGTGGTGTGAATATAATGCAGAGAATTCGTAGTTTGGATGTTAGGAGGAGGTGCGGGATTGTCAAAACTGTTGTCCAGAGGGCTGAGAAAGGGTTGTTGAAGTGGTTCGGACATGTAGAGAGAATGGAGCGAAGCAGAATGACTTTAATAGTGTTTCAGTCTGTGGTGGAAGGAAGGCGGGGTAGGGGTCGGCCTAGGAAAACTTGGAGGAAGGGGGTAAAGGAGGTTTTGTGTGCGAGGGGCTTGGACTTCCAGCGGGCATGCGTGAGCGTGTTTGATAGGAGTGAATGGAGACAAATGGTTTTTAATACTTGACGTGCTGTTGGAGTGTGAGCAAAGTAACATTTATGAAGGGGTTCAGGGAAACCGGCAGGCCGGACTTGAGTCCTGGAGATGGGAAGTACAGTGCCTGCACTCTGAAGGAGGGGTGTTAATGTTGCAGTTTAAAAACTGTAGTGTAAAGCACCCTTCTGGCAAGACAGTGATGGAGTGAATGATGGTGAAAGTTTTTCTTTTTCGGGCCACCCTGCCTTGGTGGGAATCGGCCAGTGTGCTAATAAAAAATCAAAAAAATTGTATTTTCCTGTACCCTTTCTTGTACAAATATCCCACAGGATATTAGCACTAAAATAAAAATACCACTAACTAAAACTGACGTTCCACATTACTAATGGATGACAGTACTGACAAGTTCATGAATAAGATACACTTAAAACACTTTGGTGTCTATCGTTAGAAAGTTTCGGCAACAAAGTTACCCAAGTGTTGCAAATATCTTATTCATCAAGTAACCCAAACTAACCAACCTACTCTAACCCATCCTAATTTAGCCCATCCTTAAACCATCCTTATCTATGTAAGATGAATATTTTTGGTGAAGTGTTTATTTGTCCTAAGGTATTTTTGTCCAAGGGGTTTTCACCCAATAGAATTTTGTCTTGGGTTTTGTCAAGGGAGTTTATGTCCCAGGGTGCAATTGGGCTTCTCCCTGGAGGGTTTGTCTTTCTGGGAAAGGAGACCTGACTATATGACTAGTCCCAGATCCTGAATTAGCTGGTTATGTCTCTTCTGTTTACCTGGAGAGAGTTCCAGGGGTCACTGCAATGTTCTTAATTGCTTGTGCAGTTGTGTGTGCTTGTATGTCTTGTTTCCGAGGAATGTCAACTTCACTGCTGCCTACCATCTTCTCTTCAATTTGGGGTAGTAAGTGCGAGGTGCGAGGTTCTGACCAGAGCTTTGTTAAGATGGGGAAGGAAGAAGGATGAGTAAGGATGGAATGTGTGAAAGGTTTGGGAGGGCGGAGGGGGAGGTGGGGTTTTAAAGGTTAGTGGCCTATCCATTTTGGTGCAGTTTAAATACAT